CTTTGCATGTTATAAATGTTTAACAGGCATTAAATCAACAAATATTTGCTGAGCACCATGTATGTGCATCACACTATACTGGGCCCTAGTTGATGGGTTAGCCACCAAAATAATGGGTTTGGGAAAACAACTCTAATAGGTTAACAGCCGACTCTAAAGACTACCCCCACAGATTTCCTTCAAGAGTATAATACGTATAATACCTCTGACTAAGTAGCTGTGGTAATCAAGACACTTGACTCTCCCTGACTGCTCCAAAACTTGCAAGACATCCTTCGCCTCTCATTAAATACCTGAAATAGGAGCAAACTCACACACAGAATCTCACAGACTCTTTATGCAGCTCCTGTCTTCAAGGCATTACCATGTTCTCCAGTGAGGAGAAAAAGCTTAGTGTGTCCAAAGTCACAGAGGACATGAGTGGTGAGGCTGTCCCAGGCAGAGGCCCCATAGGGGGAAGCAGCTGAGCCTGTTACAGAACACCTAGAGGTCTGCAGGGCACAAGGACTTCCTCTAACTCTTGTGTGTGAAGACTGACAACTCCCTGTGATTCACTACCAACCTGCTAGTGTCAACACACCCTAGCAAAGTGAAACTCCTTCATGATCCAATCAGCTTGGGAATGGTCTGCCACTCTTCCAATATTCCTGATCACGGGGACAGAATACTCAGGAGATACAGGTTTTAGTTCCAGTTCTGTCAGGTACTGGCTGAGTGAATTCTAGTAAGTTGCCAAGGGGGATAATGAGACTGAACTGCTTGCGCAGACGTGAGCACAAAGTCAAAGAATGGGAAAGCCCTCTGAAAAGTTAGAAGCAATCTACACATGTGAGAGAGCAATGGTAATCATAGGGAGAAAGACTTCACCGAGAAAAACCTGAATGATGGCTGTTTGACCCAGAAGTTTACCCTTTTTTCTTCTTTCTTTACATTCCATTCATTTCCTTTAACAATTACCTGTTAGATACCCACTATGTGCATGATACCCACTATGCTTACACAAAGATGAAGAAACTGTATGTAGCTCCTGTCCTCATGGGGTCGACGTGGGAGAGGTGCATGTCTGTGATACCTGGAAGCATGCAGAAGTGCTACAGGAGAGGCACTATGGAAGTACAGAAGAAACCACCAAAGCAGTTTGAAGTGGATAAGAGAGGAGTGAGTGGGAAGTAGAAATCCGAGGCAGCCTGACCTGGAAGCCACTAGTGTCAATTTAACAATAGCACTTTCAGAGGCTCTTCGTTTTAGGAAGTGGTTTGTAGGTTCTGCACGTTTTTATCTTAAAATTTTTCCTGAGCTCAGGCAAGTCAGGAAATGGGGGGAAAAGAGCCCCATTCATACATTTAATAAACATTTCCTGACTGCCAGGAACAGTGCCAAAGATTGCGATGACCACAAGACAGTCCCCATACTCAAGAACTCACAGACAAGTAAACTGACCAGCCGAGCAGATGCCGATGAAGGTCAGAAGAGAAGGTCAGAGGAGGGGCAACCAATGCAGCACGGCAGGGTGTGGAGGGCCATTCAGGGAAGACCCTAAGAGGATGTGAAGTGTGGCCTGGCTCTTGAAGGATGAGTGGATGCTGGCCTGGTGGAATGGGTGAGAGTGAAGGGGAAGCATTTCAGGCAGAAGGGACAGTTAACCAGAGGCACAGGGGCATGAGAGAGCAGGAGAAGCTTGGAGGATGGCATACATGGGTAAAGAGGGACAGCCAAGCCCAGAAGGCCTCAGGAGCCCTGGTCCAGAGTCGGGCCTCTATCCTGAGGATGACAGCAAAGGTATAAAACGTGAGAACAGAAAAGAAACAAAAAGCATCAAGCATGAGGAACACTAAAGTGTGAAGGGCAGACAGAAGACCCCGGAAGGGTCAGAAAAATCTCTCTCCACTCATTTCACAGCAGGTTCAGGTGACAAAGTGTCAGCGGGAATGGCCACTCCCTGCTACAGATGGAGAAACCAAGACAGACAACGGTTCAATGCTTGACCAGGCCACACTGAGTGACTGAGCCAGAACCTGAACGCAGCACCCTAACTCCTACTCACACTTATCTGCTGTCTCTAATTTCCTTCCTTCTCACCAAACTACTGGACCCTTAGTTATATGGAGATTTTTTCCAGTACTCCGTATTTCTCATCATTTAAGCCTAAAATCATCGAGGTGCATGGTTCAAAGGGAGGCTACAATTCCTGCAGCCAGCTAAGCTAGATTAAGGTCACTGTTCTTAATTCTACTTCATTCTCGCTTCATACCATAATAAAGCCACCTGAGTACAAACTGGAAGACGGGGGAGAGAGAGAGAAAGGGAGAGACAAAGAGGGAGGGAGGGGCTGAATGGGGGGGAGGAAAAGTTGGGGGGACAAATGCGAAGGAGAGGTGGTGGTCGGGTGGCAGGAGAGAGGGAGGGAGAGAGAGAAGCATTTGGCTTGGGGCCAAGAAGTGAATCTGTGATCTGAGATGTGAACATCAAATGCCTTTTCCTCGTAGGACAGACCACTGGGTCACCTTGCTGAGAGGCAGATGGTTGTATGAGCAGTGGCTGAGTGGATGGGTAGATGGTGCAAGAAGGCAGCAGATACCCACTAACAAACAGGTGGTGAGCGGGTTGCCTGCACAGAGGAAGCAGAGAACAAAGGCCTCTCACTCTTCATGCAAAGTCCACAGTGTGCAAAGGGCATCAATATTGGACATTTCTCACTGTGACATTTTGAAAGCTCAGCCTAGCCCAGAACAATGGTTACCCTCTGGAGACCATGGGCCATGTGCCCCTGGGCCTTATTTAATGATGGCTTGGCACAGCCCATGTACTTGGTGAACCTGACCTCGGGCATCAGCCTCCTATGATTGCTCTACGTCACTCTGGTCTCTTCCCCTAATGAGAATTCCAGTTTCACATGAATGGATGGATTCATTCTGGGGGCAGGAAAACCACTGAGGGAGTGAATCAGAAGGACCCAGCCCCAGTCTCCTTGCCAGCCATTGAGCTAGGAACTGAGTGTGATTGTGTGCCCAGGCGCCGGTGCTGTTCCCCTCTTTGAGAGAGAGGGTCAGGGTCCACGCAAGAGATGACGTAGAAGCCCTTTAAGGAGGAAGAGAAAGGAATCTCAGCTTTTAAGGACAAAGCCACCCTTCTGGCTGACTCTCAGTCCACAGAGGTACGAAGATGTGCCTGGTCAATTAATGCTATTAGATGAAAATCTCAACTCTTGTTAAGACAGTTAGTTGTCCATTTCAATTCTCTCCAACCTGATAGGTTAACCTTTAAGGAAAGGACTATTAGTTTTCCAGAAGACAAGCTTGCTGTGAGACAGGTGGAAACAATCTGCTTCAGATCACCCAGAGAATCATTTACCTTTATTAGTTTCTGCTCTACTCTTCTCCCAGCGTGTGAGGATTGGTTCAGTAAATGCCAATTTAAGCGATATAAAGCATCTGTACTTTAGCTTTCACTTTGAAATATAAGAATACTCAAGATCCAAGACGCACCAGCTAAGAGGACATCTGTATCCCAAAACTAGGGGACCCAGAATGACACTGAAAGGACATAATTCCCCTGAGAAAGGGAACTGAAACACTGCCACTTTGCCCACCAATAACTAGGTTATAACAAGACAGGAAAGGTAGCTTTTTAAGGCTCCAGCCCCCTATTGGCCTCCTGGAGCAAATGGTGGAGGGAGAAGGAGCAGCTCCTGCTGGGGCTTATTAGGACATTGCTTCGGGCTTCCCTCCACGTGCTGGCAGTGATTGTCAGACATTTGTCCATCAAGCTTGGTCTAAGAAACAGGTGGGGGAGGGGACAGATGGTTCACAAGTTACTTGAGAGCTAGCCCTGACACTGACTGATATCAGCTGCTGCGGTCTCCACTGATGGCCAAAAGTTAGACTGCAGAAGCCTCCCTGAAGGATATTCTATTATCTTCATTTGTTATAACTAGTTATCATGCACTTTGCATAAACAAATACACTAGACTCTAAGGACAGAGTGGCAAATACGTTCCCTAAGCCCATGGGCTGATTTATCTTGTACATCTCTGGGGGTCAATTTATTCACACATTATAGTTGAATCCCCTGAGGTCCAGGGTTGTGGCTATACAGGTCCTTGGGCCTGACGGTAAGGTAAGGTCCTTCATAAGAGCGTCCTCTAACAAAGCCCCACGAAGGCAGGCAAGTCATAAGTTTTTTTTTCCCGTGAACATAAATAATCAAGAGCAATAAATGGGGATTACCTTTTGGGCCAATGGAATCTTACAAAATACACCATTATCAAGTGTCTACTATGAGCCAAATATCACGTAGTTCCGCAGCAACTGGAGTTGTGACTCGATTACTTGAAGACTCCCTGGCTCCTTTTGTCATGGCATGATAGTTCCCAGAAGTTTAAGTTTAATATATCTACTTGGAGGGAAGGCAGGTGGTACTAGCTCTGAAATGATTAAAACCAGTCCAATCCCACAGTGGGAGGGTGGGTGCGGGGTGTAATTCTAGCCCCTTCCAAAAGACAAGCAAGTTTTGTCTTTTGAAGGCTGTTAGGTCGTGCAAAGGATAGTTACCCAAAAGGGAGTGGGTTTTGGTCAGTGAACTGGGTCCAGGCTGTCACAGCGAGGGCCACAGCTCTGGCGGGATTGGCGCGGGGCAAAGAGGCCCACAGGGAGAAAGACGACAGACTGCACCTCAGTGGAGTTTTAAAAAGGAGGGAACAAGGAAGTCCCTCACTTCAAGGAGCTAGGAGGACACAGGTCCCGCAAAACAGGAGTCAGACGCTGAGTCCCAGGCTGAGAAGACCCTCCGCCGGTCTTCCTGAGACTCCTGCTGAGAGACGGCGACTGGGGAAAGCACCGAGGGAACGACCTTAAGGCAGGGGCTGTCGGGCCTTGCTCTGGGGCAGAGGGGTCGCGCGGGACCGGTGGACGCCGGGACACGGCACTGACACAGGGCTAGGGACCTTGCGAGTCCGCAGCTCCAGCAGCTCCAGCAGCTCCCACCGCTCCGGCCTCACTCACCAGCTCATAGTCCCGAACCTGGGCCGGCCACCGGAGTCCTCATCCACAATTCGTTCCTCTGGGATCACTTCCGGATTCAGCCAGTCTCCAGGAAGTGACGTAACCCCGCCCCTCCGCCCGGAAGAGGCTGTTGGAAGGGCGGGGCCCGGCGCGTTAACCCTTCCGCTGCCGCGTGCTGGCCGCGGAGTTTCCCTTGCCGGCGACCTTCTCTGGCTGTGGCCTAGCACTTAGAGACTCAGGCTGCAACAGAGGAAGAATGAGACATCTGGGGGCGTTTTCTGCCTTCAACACTGACTCCTAAAGAGCTCTTCTCCTGACCACGTGGGGTCCTCAGCTGGCCTGTCCTCTCTGTCAAAGTGGTTTCTAATCCAGAGACAGTGGCAGCAGTTGTCTATGGGAGTAGAAGCCACTGGGGACAGAGAGAGTGGAAAACTGACATTCTCCGAATGCTCTTTCCTGTCTTTTACAGTTTGCACACCACACATGCACTACCTGTTACAAACAAACGGACGTTTCACTCCTTCAAGATGGCACAATGCTCTGAATATCAGTATATAGGTGCTTTTCAGGTTGGAATGTTCTGTAGATTTACTCAACACAAGAAGATGCAGAATATGGGTTGCTGCCTGCCTTTCAGTTCTTCCCTTTGGTCTCTTCTGTAGGACTCAAATGATGTAAATTATCCCTTTTTTTCTGTTCCTTCATTTAACTAATATTAGTTGTACTCCTACAGTGTCAGGTACTGAGCCAATCTTAGGATACAACCATCCCAAGAAAGTATCTGCTCTGCCCTTGTTCCTTCCCAGAGTTACTTTTCCTGGAGGGAGAGACAAGCAGGCAATTACAATGATGCTATATGATGGGATAGAATGAGATGTAGTGGCCGCCTGGAAGGAGACCTTGAAGCAGCACATGGGGTTTTAGGGAAGGCTTCCAGGAGGAGCCTGTGTAAGCCAAGCCCTGAAGGCAGAATCATGACTAGCTAGGTGAATCTGAGATGAGGGGTGAGGAGGGTCCAAGAAGAGGAAATTTATCATGGGAAGACATAGACAGGTACAAGCAAGCAGCTGACTTGCCTCAGGTCTCCTAAATTCAGAATTCAAGGCCTTAGTGGCTCACAAGTTGCTTGGGGTTCTGGGCTGACTTGGTTTCCTCACCCCTAAGTACCTCCCTCCCTTAGAAGAAGAACAAACGGTAGTGAGGCCCGAGTAGGTGCTGCTGGCCCCCCAGTGACCTTTTCTCTGGGAATTCTCCTTCCTCAAATGCACCGGGAGTGTTTCAGGGACTGCTTAGGGAGTTGCTAATCAATGACCTAGTGTGAAAGATGTAACCAATGACCTAGAGCAGAAGTAGTGTATGATTTGTTCTGACCTCCTAGGATGGAGTAGAGGGCTTTAGCAGGAGAGGTAGGAGGGTGGGCCACAGGATGCAGTCTCTCATTTGTGTGTTCTGTTTCTACTCTTGAGAGTCCATAGTTTGACTTAATTGACGTTTCCAATGGAGGTTGGGTTGCCATCACACAGATCAGCTTTACTACAACGTTGTTCCTTGGAAAACAGGCCAAAATGAACATAAGAGCAGCCTTGAAGAGTAGAGAGGAAGAGGAGAATTCACCAAAGGGCAGCCTGGTCAGACAGTATGTGTGAAGAGAGAGAGAGATTTTGCTGCTTTGCAGAGAGTGTGATGGATTGAAGGGCTATTGTGGTCCCTTCCAAAAGAGAAGGAAATTTTCTTTGTCTTTTGAAGACAAAGAGCCTCCTGGCATTTAGCACCTATGAATAGTTCTCCCACCTGCTTCCTCCCTTCCCCATACTCTGCCTCCCTCAGTTATTGCCCCACAGTGATAAATATTTCCAAATGTTTTAGCCTAGGTAACTGCCATATCCTAGGAGAAGTCTATTTCAGGGCTGGAGGGCAGCAGACACATCCTGCAGGACTAGAATGGATGAGTTCTGGATTGCAGATCTGGAGAAGTCTGGGGCTCTATTTCCAGTTCCATCTTTGACACTGTAACTGACCTCAGATCCCCTTTGTGGCCTTGGTCCCCTAATCTATAAGATGGAGTGGATAGATAACATCCCCAAAGTCTCCAACATTGCAAGGTTCCAAGTCAGCTGTCTTGTTGACTCTAGAGGCCCTGGGGAAATAAGAGAATGGGAAAGGCAGGTGAACAGGGAGGCAAGCCCAGATAAGTGGACAGGTCTGAGGAACTGGTGATATCTTGGGATAAGGCTAAATAAGAATTTTCTGGGGCTGTGCTGTTGACAGGTCACCTCTGGATGCAGCCAGCAGGATCTTTGAGGTAACTAAAAAGAATGGTGGCCTCGCAGGAGTCTGTCTGGAAAGTGCCTGCCTGCTCTCCTTACCTGTGGCTCATTCTCTCAGCTAGAGGGGCACTGGGCTGAGGTGGCATAGTCAGGCACCCTGCTGTCCTGTGTTCCTCCATGAGCCTCCTGTGCCATGAGGCATTGATCCTCGGGGAGTTGAACATGGGGACCCATAAACACTTCCCACTGTTGTGAAAAACTCAGCCTGCAGGGTCGGGAGCTATGTCTTTCTTATTTATAACCAAAGGGACAGCATGATACAGATTGATCCTGCCCCTGCAGGGAAGGAATGGAAAAGAGAAAATTGGGTTTCTAAGTAGAAGCTGAGAGTGGAGGTGCTTTGGGTAGGGATGGATGCTCCTGGTTTCAAGCCTGGTAAATACTGATTCTTCCCCAGAATTCTGAGCCTGAAGTTAAAGGAGTGTTCAGGTGGCAGAGGACTACTTCTGGGAAAAAGCTGTTTACCAGAGGAAAGCAGCAGCAGAACCTGCTCTGCCATCAGCCATCAACTTTTCCTTGGAGTTTTTTACTCAGAAGTTGGTAAGCAGGTACTTATCACTGGTGACCCTCATCTCTGGGGTTGTTACGTCCGGTTCTCTCCCAGCATTTCCCACACAGAAGTCTAGGGCTGGCCCCCGGGTCTTTCGCAATGCCAGCCTCTCATTAGTGAAGAGTGAGTCTTCCCAGAACCTGGGCCTGGGCTATCAGGGGCTTCATTAGGGCACCAGGCTGAGGCTGAAAAACTGAATGTGATAGGGCCAAATTGGTGGGCTCAGGTCTCTTGCAGCCCTAAAGGTCTTGATGCCTCAGGGAGGCTCCTGCTATTCAGACGCAGGTCTCAGGTTTCTGTGTGGCCTCACTGCCCTACTTCCTCCTGCTCTGGACCTGCTCAGCAGGGCTTCTCAGAACAATAGCTTTCCTGGGGCCATTGGGGGCCAAGGACATGGGAGGAGGAGCAAGGGTGGGAGAAGATGGAGGAAATCAGGGTGAGATTTCCAGTGGTGGGAAGCCCACATGGACTGCTCAAAGGTCAGGGTGAAGTGACACATCAGAAACCATGCCAGCAAGCAGCAGGCAGAACCAGGAATGCCTGTCTGACCCATGGCTCTGTCTCTAAATGACTTGAGGGAGTCTTGTCCCTCCTCTGGGCCTCATCTTCCTTGATCACAACAAGAAAGGTCCAAGTTAGATCTGGGATGGCAAATGGATGTTATCCCATGTTCCAACTTGGATTATCTGCCTAGAATCAGTGTTGAGGATTCTGGGGAATCTGCCATCAGTGGGGAAGTTCTGTGATTGATTAGTCATGTCTGCCGTGGACAAGAAAGGGCAATGTGATGGTTTATATTCCACTTTATTATTTGTTATTATAAGTTAGTAATAATTGGATACTCATGACATGACAGGCACTATTCTAAGCAGTTCACATTTAATCCTTGCCACAACCCTATAAGGTAGATACTGTCATTATTATCATTTCACAGATGATGGAGGTGAAGTATAGCCATGAAGCTATAGTATAGCTTCATGAAGCAGTGAAGTGGGGTTTCTGAGCACCCTGACTTTGACTGTTATGTTTTTGCCACTACAGTTTGCCATTTCACCTCCAACAATCTATGGTTCTGTCGAGGCACAGTGAGGTTGGAAGCCAGCAGGCACATGGAGCCAGGTGAAGCATCACTACTAAATGGCTTGGTTGTGGGTGGAGGGAGGGCCACCCTAGGACCAGGCACCTGACTGTGGTGCCAGGCGCCGCCTCATCCTGCAAGATTTTATATGCTTCCTCCAGCATGGAGATCGCCGGGCCAGCAGGTGGCAGCACCGGGCAGGGTGAGAGGAGAGGGCAACCCCTGACATGGCATGGATGTCCTTGAGGGATCAGAAGGCCCAGATGTTGGGGAAAGCAAGAACAAATGCGGGTGTGGAGGAAGGATAGCCAAGGGCCCAGAGGAGGAGGAGCCCTGGCCTCTGACCCACAGGAGCTGCCACAGCCAGTGCTTTCGTTCCATCCATCAGTGTGGGCCTCTCAGCTTGCATCTCGTGGTGCCTGCTGTGGGTTTTTTTTTTTCCTCACTCTGGGAGAATGACTAACTTTAAGGACTAAAAAAAAAGTGTTTTGATTACACTGCCTTTTTACCAACTGGGAGCATTAGTCACCATGGATTGCTGCAGATAACGGGGAAGGCAAGCAGCACCCCCTCCTCCCCCTCCTTCTCTCTGATTAGCTCACAGAACCCAGGAGGAGACGCGAGTGAGGCAGAGTGAACCAGGAGGGAAAATAATTCCCCCAGGATGATATGTTCCTTGGGCATCAGGCCAAGGGCTGTCCAGGCTGGGCAGCCCCCTGACAGGTAGGCTCTAAGATGACCCCAGACTCACAATAGGAGGTGCCCACTGGAGAGAACTAGCAGGAGGACCACTGAATCCAAGGCTCCTGAGATTCTGAGTTGGGTCTGGGTGGCCTGTTCTTCCAGGTAGCTGAAGGGTACACCTGGAAGGGGAAGTCAGAGGAAGTCACTGAAGACATAGCTCCTGAGATGGGGCTCAGGATGGCTGTGATGTGGGGCTCATGCCAGGCTGTGGTGTGGCTAAGAGCTGCTGCCTTGAGCTGGGGCCTTCAGGGCTCTAACTGGGGTTGAGACATTCCTGGCAGGTGAGATTAGTGTCCATGCCCCGCTCCCCACACTTTGGCCTTCCCCCTTCTTCTTCATCTCAATGGGGCAGTATCTAGTACTTTTGGTTAATGTTCCTGCCCAGTGCATCCCTCTTTGCTCCCGCTTTGGTGCTGGTGGGGCTGGAGAG